ACCAGCGTGCAATGAAAGCTGATACAATACTCCAGCAGAGCTTCACCAATGTGTGGAGTGTCACAGGTAGACGACTGCAATTCTGAAAGTATTGATATGAATGCCATTTCTGACACTGATGACACCCTAGACTTCATGCAAAAACGCCAGCTATGCAAAGAAAAAAAACCCTTAGCCTTGACATTTTTATCACTGTACAGTTTGATTTAAAAAGTGCCCGTGTGTACAATGGCCTATTATTCTAAGAGAAATGTCAAAAACCTTGATTTTGAGTGAAGCGAAAGAAATTGCAATATTAGGACAAGGCTAATTTATGCCGGCAGTCACCGTAGAGGTCAGATATCAGCTTCAGCAATGACAGTTTTATCAGGAGAACAAATGGCAGCGCTGGTCAGGAGGAGGCAGGGGGGGAAGATACTTTACAGGATACATTAAAAAGCTTACCGAACGGAGCAGCTTTTTTACATTATGAAGACGAGGAGTGGCTGATACGGTCTGTCTTGACAAAGAACAAGCTAAAGTGGTTGACATAAAGATGCAGCTATGAATAAAAAGGATCACTTTCACAGTTTAAAAGTGTGGTAGACAAACTTGATAAAGACATGTTTCACACACAGAGCAGAAACAATGCTGCACCTCTGGGTCATGTGTGCTCCCCCTTTTCATCTGAAGTAAAGAAATCGCAATTAAAAAAAAAAAACATTTACAACCATTAGATTTGCAAACATACTTTTTTTTTACTTTGACTGTGCAGGCAAAATTAAAACTGGAACAAAAGGTATTTATCAAGCTCCTTAAATAAAATGTATTATAGGATTTTAAGGTTAATAGTGAAATGTAAATGTCCAATTTCATTTTTAACTTAATGTTAGATTTTTTTACACACATTTTTTCTTATTAATTTCTTTAACAAATACAAATGTCAGTTTTTCACACATTTTCCACCTTTTTTTTAACACTTTCTTTTTTATACACACAAAACCAAACAATTAAAAAGGTCACAAAAAGAATAGCAGACTTTTGGTCTAATTTTTCAGGCGTTTTGATGATTTCATATTAAATGAACAACTTAATAATGTAGAATCTTAGCAGATTCAGAAAACCTACATTTAGTTGCAGCACTAAATCCTTTATGTATTTTCTATATTTTTGTTGGTTTCAGTGGTGATATTTCAAATAAGTCCAGAATTTATGTACATTGTCTGAAACTGTAAGTAATAACAGTATGAGCAACTCTCTAAATACGTTTTGGTAATAATCTCACTATCAGTTCTTTTCATGACAACCGACAATTAAAAATAGAAACAATTCAAAGTCATCATCATTACTACAAAGTACTTAAAGCAAAAAGATAATGTTTAAGTGACACATTGACAAGGCTAAGAGAAAGCTGAATTCAAAAGTTAATACAACTTTTTTTTCTCAAAATTGCTACTGTTTTACAGTAGGGATGCACAATATTATCGGCATGGTATCGGTCGATATTAGCGATAAAGTTAAATATCGGACATCAGCCATTCCATCAAAATAACTCACCGATATAAAAGGTGGTGTTTTTGTACGACTCTTTGAGTGTTGTCATTGTGTTAGAGAGAGTAAATGTCATGAATAAATTTGACATTAAACATAATCCGGGCAGCACGGTGGCGCAACTGGTAGAGCTGCTGCCTCTCAGCGAGCAGGTCCCTGGTTCAAACCTAGGGACCTTTCTGAGTGGAGTTTGCATGTTCTCTCCGTGCATGCGTGGGTTTTCTCCAGGTACTCCGGTTTCCTCCCACAGTCCAAAAACATGCATGTTAGGCTGATTGGTAACTCTAAATTGTCCCTAGGTGTGAGTGAGAGAGTGAATGGTTGTTTGTCTCGTTTGTCTCCATGTGGCCCTGTGATGGACTTGCGACCCGTCCAGGGTGTACCCCGCCCCTCGCACAGTGATTGCTGGACATGGGCACCAGCGACACCCGTGACCCAAAATGGAATAAGCGGGTAAAGATGATGGATGGATGGATGGAAACATAATCCAAGTTGAAGTGTTACATCATTTTCAGCCCCCTTTTTGGCATCTATATTTGGTAGCAGGACAAACTGACAAAGACCATTCAGAATAATGTAGTATTTTAATTCCACAGCAGAGAAAGCTATGTAGTCTCTGTAAGTAGGTCTAGGAAAAAAAAATATCGGTATCAGTTATAGGCCAAATAATTTTTAACATATTGACATATCGAATATTGGCCAAAAATCCAATATCGTGCATCCGTAGTTTTACAGCCTTCAATTGTTCTGGAGTCAGGTCGCAGCACAGCTTGATCAGGCCCAGCCACCTCTTCCAGATCTTCTGGGAGGATTCCAAGGTGATCCCAGGCCAGCTGAGAGACCTCTCCCTCCAGCCTATCCTGGGTCTTCCTTGGTTTCTTTTCCCAGATAGACATACACTTCTCTAGAAAGGCATTTACATTTATCTTTAACATATGCCCAAAACTAAATCAACTGGCTCCTCTTGTTGTGGAGGAGAAGCGGCTTTATTCTATTCTTCCGGATAACAGAACTTTTCGCCTTATCTCCAACTACCCTTCTGAGAAAACTCATTTTTACCGCCTGTATTAGTAATTTTGTTCTTTCTGTCACTACCCACAATTCATGACCACAGGTGAGAGTATAGGCCGACCATTAAATAGAGAGCTTTGATTGCAGCTCAGCTCTCTATTCACCACAACCAACTGGTGCGTAGGACGTAATACTGCAGAGCCACCAATCCATCTGTTGATCTGACATTCCACTCTTCCCTAAACAAAACCCACAGATACTTAAACTCCCCAGCTTGAGTCAACACTGTCAACCTGATAGAGCAGATCAGTCTTTTCTGACTAAGAATCATGGCCTCTGATTTTGAGGTTCTGATCTTCATCCCAGCTGCTTCACACTCGGCTGCAAACTGCTCCAGTGAGATCTGGAGATCACGACACAATGATGCCAACTGGACCAAATCTTCTGCAAGTAGCAGAGGCAGAGTCCTGAGGTTAACAAACAGGAGCCCTTCAGCCCCTGGCTGCACCAGCAACTATTGTCCATAAAAGTTAAGAACAAAAGTGGAAACAACAGGCAGCCCTGGCAGAGTCCAACTTTCACCTGGAGCAACCCCCACAGTACACCTCAACACGCACAATCAAATGCCTTCTCCAAGTCAACTAAACACTTGTAGAGTGATTAGGCAAACTCCCATGCCCCTCGAGGGCTACTGAAAAAAATAATAATAATTTGAGTGAAACACATTTGCCTTGATGCAAGAACCTTGTGCATCCCATAATGATGCAACACACCTCAGCTTCTCTGCGCGGCAGAAGATTTGTGGTTTACGTTTGTACACAACGCTAACAGGCTCTTTTCTGCCTGAGGCAACCTGAGATTTCAGGGAGGGATCACTGTGCTTTCAAAATTATAAGGGTCATTAAAAATTTACACATTATTGACTGTATTTAAAACATCTTTTCCAGTGACTATAAAGAGCACTTAAATTTAAGAGGCGCTACTCTCCAAAGGCCATAAAGTTGTTATAGATAGCCTGAAGGAGGCATGGAGGAGAGACTTTTCTCCTGCTGAATATGATTAAAAGTACAGTGGTGAGAAACAACCTACATCGTTACACAATGCACTCCAGTGCTCTGTGAGAGGTGAAGGGCTGTTTATATATCCCCATGTCAAACTAATCTATGACTAAGAAATGTACACAACTATTATAGTTCTATGTCCAAAGTACATGTTTCTACACATAAACAGTCAAAGAAGTGCCACAATAGAAATTGCCGACAGCACTGTCCTTATGTGTCAGTGCTTCACGGATGGAAAAACTCTCAAAAGAAGACTTTCTGACTGTGGAGTGAATTTTAATGTTAATACAAAAACGGCAGCCTGTGATCTCAGCAGGCATCAGGACGGGGGTGGGAGTCGCTTCGAGGTGCAATTTATTCCAACCTCTGAGCCTCACAAACTTGAAAGTAGGCTTCAAAAGAGCTAAGGATTACCGCAAAGGCTTGTGAAAGCGCACATTGGTCTGAGCTTACGCCATAACCTCAACACATCAAAGATAAATGACCATCAGCTTCCAAGAATATGACCGATTCACAAAACCATTCAGTTATCCATTCAGATCCATAGTTGCTCATTGATTGTTCTCACCTCACAGCATGACCATGAGAAAAGAAGCTCTGTTTTGATGATACCCCCTGGCATCCACCCCTCTGCCATGGTGCGCTGCTGTTACATGGCTTTTTCTCAGCTCAGCGCAGGATGCAGAGTGCAGAATGCAGAATGCTTCAAGCTGGCAAACACCTCTGAGCTCTGTGCCAAACGTCACTCTCCAAAGCAACAGCACACTGAACAACTCTAAATTGTTTATATACAATTTGCGGTGGAAATCCCCAGCTCTTCACTGAGATAAATAATTGAGGAATTTGATCTGGACACAGTACAAAGGTTTGCTCTCTTCCCTCTGCGGCCGGAGGCAGAGGAAGCTGAAGCAGCAAGAGCAGTGACACACACATTCATGCATGCTGGAGATCTCAGTGCTCTCCTTCCTTCCTCTGCAGCTGTCACTAACTCTCGGGGCCACATCTCCTCCTCCCTGTCTGCACAGTACAACACCCCTGTCACCATGTCAGAGGAGCGGCCTGCTTCTGCCTCCTGGGACACAACACAAATAGCAGGAGTTTAGCCCTCATTGAACTCACGTTCTTGTTCGGAGCAACCTGTCTAGTTAGCTTGTCTCACCAGTTCACCCTCACTGCCTTGTTGTCCAGCCACAAACTTTACGGCATATTGCCCAGGAGTGATAAATTGCTTGTGTCTTCATGGTTGTGCATACGGTAGAAAGGAATAGCAAAGACTTAGGAGTACAATGAGCATGCGATAAAACAACAACAATAGGGCAAGGAGGAAGGTTACATTGCAGAATTTTGCAGCATGATGTTACCTTATTGTGCTGTGTGCAATGTCAGTTTTAGGTGTACTCCTGGTCTCCTGAGACTTCTGACAGCGAGGAACGTCTCCCATCTGACACCATATTCCCATGTTGTTTATCTCACTGTGTAAAATGAACAATACACAAATATTTCATTAAGTTACTTAGCTACATCAGGGCTTCCACTATCAAATAAAAAAGCACAAAAAAAACTTACTGGCAGATGAAAATTACAAAACATACCGATTTCATTCATTTTCAGTAAAACATAGGCTCACCCTATACAGGTGTAGTTAACAAGGTGGTACTTGGACTTGGTAGTGATCTGGATGTCATATACAGCTGTCTCAGCAGCTGCAAAAGGGCTCATTTTTACACAGAGCCTCTTCTTCCTCGTGGCAGCTTCCTCTGATGGGCAAAGTACAAGTACATGTGGATATGTCAGGAAAGAACTTGTGCATATTCAGTTCTGTGTCCTCTGAGGATCGAATAAAAAAATTTGACTGAAAGACACATTCAAGATTCAATCCCTGTGAGAAACTACTACCCACTCACGTTATATATTCAATTCAATTCAATTCAGTTTATTTATATTGCGCCAAATCACAACAAAGTTGTCTCAGGGCACTTTACAGGAACATTCACATACATAGAAAAGCCAATTAGTAAAGTTCTCTATCTAAGGAATCCAGCAGACAAGTTGAATATTGGCTTTGTTGCAGTCTCCTATCCTGAACAAGCACAATGGCAACAGTGGAAAGGAAAAACTATATTTTAAAAGGAAGAAACCTCCAGCAGAACCAGGCTCAGGACAAGCGGCCATCTGCTTTGAACATACATATCTATAATGTATCTATGTATCTATGTATCTATGTATCTATGTATCTATGTATCTATGTATCTATCTATGTATCTATGTATCTATCTATCTATCTATCTATCTATCTATCTATCTATGTATCTATCTATCTATCTATCTATCTATCTATCTATCTATCTAT